TCACAGAAAACAAAATTTGCTCAGAGTTCTACCAGAGGCAATCACTGTCAATATTTTTCACATATGTGAATCCAGTCCTTACTCTCTGCATGCCCATTTAAAAGATCATAGACTATACCTTGCCTTTGAAAATATGATTTAAAAATATTTAAATATGTTTTGTAATGACTAGGTAACACATGTACAGAATAACACTATACAAAATTCTAAAAGTACAAAAACGAATACAGTAAAATGTCTCTATTTTAGTCCTGTTCACCAGCCACCCATGAAATGACTGTTCTCAGTTTTTCTGGGCAATTTCTTAATGTCAGAATCAGAAGGCTGAACAGGAGTTCGGAGGTCATTTACTCCAGATGTCTCTTGGCCAGATGTTACACTGGGTTGCTCTTTCCCTGGGATATCACTTTTACAGGAAGAGCAATGTGTTGTTTTCAGAAGAAAGGGGTGGGAAAGCAGCATGCTAAGGCTTGGAGCTCTAGAGGCACCAGCTACAAGTCCCAGCCAGGTCCCTTATTTTATAGAAGAGCATGCCAAGGCCCAGAGAGAGAGAGTGTGACTTCTTTAAAGTCACATGGCTGGTCTGACTTAAAATCAAAATAATTGCAGGATAACTAAAAGCTGATTTCCCCATCCTTTGCTAGGGAAACAGGTAAAATAGTCAATATGTTAGAATCCAGGTTAGACTCTAAAAAAAAGGAACTCATTTTTAAATGAAGGTCAACTTCATTAACCAGAAATTGGACAGCATTTTTATTTAATATAAAAATCAATTTTCATTTTTATTTAACTCATGCTCATTGTAAAAAAATGGAAACCTCTGTTTAAAAACAAATAAAAACGGGCCTTTTTATTTGCACTATTATGTAAGCTGCTCTTTTTTACCTCACTGCTTACCTTGGATAACTTCCCATGTCAGTGCATATACATCCATCTCATCTTTTCTAACAGCTGCTGGGTCTTCTATTATATGCATCTACTAGAATTCATGCAACAATTCCCTACTATTGGGCACTTGGATTGTTTAAAAAGTTTTAATATATAAACATGCAGCAGTACACATCTTTTTACATACATCTGTGTCTATTATTTGATAAGGATAAATCCCTAGAGATAGAATTTCTGGGTCAAAGTATATGCATATTTAAATTATTGTATTTATGACAGTTTGTACTCCAGAAAGTCTGACTCAATTTACATTTCTACCAACAATGTATCAAAACAGCCATTTCACCCCCTCTGGCCAATCTTTGGAATCCCTTTCAATCAAATAGACAGAAGATGTTAATCTGTTGTTTAAAAAACTCAGAAGCTGTGTCTAAAGGGACTAGTCTTTTCAACTCGCTCTCCTCCCCCCATTTTTTTGCGAGTTTACATTTGACCAGAAAAGGGGATACTAGGGCATCTCAAACTCAAAGTTCTAAACCATTTATACCAAATACAAACCATATCAGTGCATTCACCAACAAAGATTACAAACTGTGCAAAATAAGAATTATCAGTAAATTCCAAAGAACAGTTGCATGGCTATCACAAGAATGAAGACATAGCTTAGGTTGCTGTCTGGGAGATTACTTCCCTTGAAATGTGGGTAACACCCTTGAGGCATTTCAATAAATGGGATCTGAGGCCTCAGTGCTTAGGAGAGAGGATAGATGGTTAATGACATATATATGAAGTGAGTCAGAAGGCAGGATGGTCTTAACCACTGGATGTGCCTGGGCACATACTATTATATATTAGGAAGAAAAATGAGTAAGGTGTCTGAAGAGACTAGGCAGGAGTGTGAAGAAACGAAAACAGGGATCTTCCCTTCTTTAAAAACTACTCTTTCTGATGTAATCTACTTGGCAGGGTCTTCAATACTCTTCCTGGACAGGCATTAATGAGGTAATGATGGATGAGGTAGCGTAATAGGGAGGCTACTAGTAAAGAACGCGCCTCCCCCCTTAAAAAAATGATTCATAGATAATTAGGGACAACGTTTTAATTATTTTTTTGGAAAGCTAATCTCCAGAGCAGTGTTTCTCAAAGTGTGGTTCCAAACCAGCAGTATAAACAACACCTGGGAACTTGTTTGAAATGCTAATTCTCAGGCTCCACAGCAGGCTGACTGAATCGGAAACTCTGTGTGTGTGTGTGTGTGTGTGTGTGTGTGTGTGTGTGTGTGCGCGCGCGCGCGCGCACAATCTGTGTATTAACAAGTCTCCCAGGTGATCCTACTGCATTGCCCTTGGGGTTTTCAATTATTAAATTATTTACTTATTTTACTGTCAATGTTTTCAAGGTGTTTTTTTCTGTTTCAAATTACAATTTTCTGAAGTTTAAAAAATGTCGAAGTATAAAAAGACGATGGAGGACATAGATTATTTAAATACATCTTCCTAAAAATAATATGGTGCTTTGGAAAGAGTTCTGTGTCTGACATTTTGAAGTGCATGTTTCAGCCAAGGGTGGGGCCTGTTAAGTCAAATCGCTTCTTCCAGGATGAGGATTCCTACAGCCTTTCACAGATGGTCTACATATTTCCATAAAGTTATATCTACTCTGAATTTGTTTGTCATTTGACTCATCTACATAGGCTTATTATGACAAAATGTCATCTTTACCAAAGAAAATATTTTTCTACAAAATCTCTGAAAAGAGATCAAAGGCTTTCACACAGGCTTTAAATAGACTGTATTATGCTGTGCACATGTTGAAAAACTATATGATCTTTCCTGGGGAGGGGGTTGATGAGTTGGAATAGTATCTTGTTAATTCGTTTCTCGGGATAGGCAGAGCAAATCTTCCTCCAAGATCGTGTTTAAGGTGTATGTTCAACTTTTTAAGGAACTGCCAAAGCATTATCCAAAGCGGTCATGCATTTTCCATTCCCACCAGCAGTGTATGAGAATTCAAATTGTTCCTCACTCTCACCTACACTTGGTATGGTGGTGCGACAGCTTGGTACTGTAGCCATTCTACTAGGTCTGCAGTGGTATCTTATGGTGATCTTAATATGCATTTTCCTAATGACTAGTGATTGAGCATCTTTCCATTGCTTATTTTCCATTTGTATATCTTCTGATCCAATTATTCCACTTGTTTTTATTTCAAAAGAAACAAAAGCACACATCCATACAAAGAAATAGATCCTTGCTATGGACTGAATTGTGTCCCCTCCAAATGTATATGTTGAAGCTATAACCCCCAATGCGACTGTATTTTCAGACATGGACTTATAAGAGGTTATTAAAGCTAAATGAAGTGGTAAGGGTGGGGCCTTGATACAAAAGGTTTAGTGTCCTTATGTGAAAAGACACCACAGAGCTCGTGCGCTCCCCCACAGCTCCGCACACAGTGGGGCGGCAGCTGCCTATAAGCCAGAAGGAGAGGTCTCACCAGAAAGTGACCATGCTGACACCCTGATCTTGGACTTCCAGCCTCCAGAATTCTGAGAAAATCCAAGTGTTGTTTAAACAACCTCATCTAATGATGTCCTGTTAAGGTAGCCCAAGACATGTAAGGTAGTACAATCCTCAGAGCAGGATTTGTAATATTTGTAACAGTAAAATATTGGAAACCACACAAATGAACGCATAATAAATTGCAGCATGTACGTTTAAAGGAATATTACTGAGCAATACAAATGGATAAACTATTGATTTAAACACACACACACACACACACACACACACACACACACACACACAGACCCCTGTGGAACTTTCCCATTATAATTAGGAAACTCCAACTTTGTGTTGAATGGATTGTTTTCTTTTCTCCAGTCCCTGATAAAGAAATGGAAATGTCTCACTTAGAAAAAGCTGCCACATGTAGAGGGCTTCATGGCTTCGTGCTTTCCCTTGTGAAGAGCCTGGAACAGAATCGCTACCATACCCCAAACCCGCAGCCTTTCCATCAACACTGGAGGTAAAACAAAACAAACAAATAAAATACCTCTCCCCCAACAACAAAAATCAAAGGACATAAAACAGATAACAGCAAAACTCAAAACTGGGAAACAAATTATTACATTTGAACCTTATCTTTTGTTTTTCCAAGCTTTGGTGGCTCTAATGAATATTATAATAATGAAAATCTGTTATGAAAATTTTCAATCCTCTTTGGTAATTTGTGTCAGGAGTATTATATTACAGAAAAAAAAAGTCCTCCACAAGTAAAGATGCTAATCCCAGAATAATGTGTCAGCTTGAGTCAGGCAAAACTTGGACAATACAACCCAAAGGTGGACATAGAATTTGATTAGAAATTCTAAATCTGCTTTCCATTTCACAGAAAGCTTGGAAGATAAAATAGGCTTAATTTATGGTATTAGATACAGTTCATACCAAACATGGCAGGTTCATATCGCACTTTGGAGGTTGTGCTCATTCGTGTTTAGATGGGACTGCTATACCACGGAAAAAGGATTCCTAAGGAAGATTCTTGGTGGCAAATTACTATGGAAGGAAACTCACTCCAAAGTTGCAAATTGTTTATTTCCATTGTGTGCTGCGGGTGCCAGCTTTTGTTTGTTTGTTGGTTTATTTTTTATGGCATTAACGTCCTAGGTTTTAAGGAAAAATTTTTTGAGCTTTGGCTACTTAGCTTATAAGTGGTAAAGGAGAAAACTCAAAACTATGTCCGATGCCAAAGCCCAATATAGAGTAGTTTTCTGGGAGGCCAACCCTCAACCCCTGCTCCGTGTCCTTCCCTGTGTCTCCTCTAACTATGACTCGCATGTACTCACTGCTGGTTCCCAGCTGGAGGGCCGACTGCACCTGCTCCGAAGGCTGGCGCGGCCCTGCCTCAACCGCAGCTCAGCCTCCGCTGTCTGCACGGACACGAGAACCCACCAGGGGTCACTGCAGCCCTAGAGCTATTGTGTTGGCCAGTTCTGGACACTGCCGGCCGCACCAAGGGTGTGGGACTGGGAGTGCTGAACGCCGGGGTCCAAGCAGGAATGCGTCCCGCCCTCCCCGAGCCAGCCTCCGGGTCTCCCCGGGAAACCGACACAGCGAGCTGGGTCAGAGCTGCAGGGGGCCCCGTAGCTCGGGCGCAGAGCGCTGTTTCTCCCGCGGACCTGTCGGCACTTCGCCATTAGACCACCTCCGCTCCGCCCTCCGCCCCCAGCCGAGACCCCGCCCAGAAGGGGCGCCCCTTTCCCGGCCTCTGGGCCACGGCTTCGCTCCAGGGCTTTTTGCAGACGCCCGGGCCCGGCCCAGCTGCACCTGGGCTGCTCCCGCCCGGGGCGCCAGCCCTCGCGCAGCGTAGAGAACTTTCCCCGGAGCCGCCGCGGCCTGGCGCTCCCAGGGCGCACCCCTACCCGTCCGCCCGCCGCTTTCCTAGCCCGGGCGCTCGATTCTCTGCCCGCCGGCAAGTCTTTTGACTCCCGGTTTCTCTGAACCTCCGGGACAATCAGCACTCCGCCGCAGCGGCAGGGCATGCTCGGAGGAAGACCTTGAACTTGGCCCCCCACGGCCCCCCGCGATGAGCTCGGGGTTCCCCAGACTGGAGCCGCGCTCCGCGACGAGCTGACCTCTGCTCACCGGTTTCGATAGGAGCCCGCTCGCTGCCCTTTCCGACCGTCTTCGGGCTTCTGGGTGCCCGCGGATTGGGGAAGGGACGACCCTCGCAAAGAGATCGCCCCTGCAGTGTTGTTGGGACGTCGTGGGGACCCCGGACACAAAGGAATAGCCGAGCGCTCCCCATTCGGCGGACCGGACAGGGGGCTGCGGGGTGGGGTCGGAGCTGGCGGTGCGCGCCCGCTGGGGGCTCCGCTGGCGGAGGAGGAGGCCGGTGCGTCGAGGCCGCGCTCCCGGCGAGCGCGGGCGGTGGGGGCTGAAGAGCCTCTAGGGGCTTCCAAGTCCGGGGAGGGCCTCGAGCTCTCGTCTCTCCCGTTTCGTGCCTCTTGTCCCCATTGCCAGGAGACTTTTGTCGTCCCCAGGACTGCGGAAGGGGCCGCGGCGCCCCCGCCTTCGGAGGAGCCCGAGTCGCACGCAGGATGCGCGGGGACGCGCGGCCGCCCTCCGCGCCCAGTTCCGCCGGCGCTTCCTCGGCGGCTCCCGGGCGCTGACTCTCCGGGCTTCTCAGCTGCCCTTGCCTCCTGCTCGCGCGGCCCCGGACCCTTCCGGGACCTGTTCCTGTCGCCTTCGCCGCGGCGTGGACAATAAATTAATGCCTCGCGCTTGAGGAGAGGGGGCGGCTTTCTCGCCTTGGCTGGAGACGGTCACAGCCGACATGGGCTGTTTCTGCGCTGTTCCGGAAGAATTTTACTGCGAAGTTTTGCTCCTGGATGAATCCAAGTTAACCCTCACCACCCAGCAGCAGGGCATTAAGGTAGGCGCGGGCCGGGGGGCGTGTTCGGGAGGTTGGCAGCCGGGCGGGCTCGGGGGTCCGGGGCTTTGTGTGAGGGCTGTCACCGGGTAGGGCGGCGACTGCGCCTCCGCGCAGTGGGAAAGGAGCCGCAGCTGCCCCCTGCGCTCAGGTAGAGGGTGAACATGTCAGGGTGGGTTAACTCCGAGTCCCTTCATAAAGGAAAGTAACTTTGACGTCTCAAAGTGTAGTCCACGCACCAAGTCTCAGCTGCAATCCACGGTCCTGCAGTTGAGACCAAAACTCTTCCTGACACCGATTTCGTCCCGCAGCATCTAAGGGCCCCCTGCAGCTCCCAGAGAGGCGCGGAATTGAATATACGGGCTGCATACAGTGTCAAAGGCACGGCTTTCCTTGGCTTTGTTTAGGCTTTTTCGTGATAGTGTCATTGGGGAAGTAAAGGAGTTCGCTCGTTGAAACGCATGTTAGGTGGTTGTGATTGTGTGTTGCCTGGGCTTGTAGCTGGGTATTGTTACATTTGGACGGAAAATAATTTCCCTTTCCGCAAGCAAACTGGCTCCCCACATTTAATTCAGCATCTCTCAAAGCGACTCGGTAATAACTTTACTCTTGTTTTTAGGTCATTAAAATGCAATTACTACTATTAACCTAGACAACCCAAACAAAAAGGCTATGAGAGATTGCAGAGGTCCACTTCCTAAATTTTGCTGAGTTCTTATGTGAGAGTTGACAACCTGACGGAGGCGTCTGCGCAGTTGTTTTGCTCTTGCAACTATGTAACTACCTAGAGGTGATCCGAATCTGAGTGTTTTGTTTCCTTTTTCTCCTTCAGTGTTACATCGCAGGCATTTTAGATAACTCAGCAGCTGAACCTGGTAAAGGGAAACCACTCACCCATCCTCCCAATTAGAGCTGGTCCACTGAGAAATCAAGTTCAGGCTGACAGGTGTCCTCTCCTAGCCTTGTCATCTCAGAAGTTAATCCTAATGGTGTAGGCCCTGGGCATTTCCTTGTGTGAATCAGTTTTTACGTAGATTTATGGACACTAGAGTAACTGTTCTTAGCCAAAAGCTTCAGCTTTGATGTTATTGTTCTTGGTGTACAGGATTCCAATTTCACAGGTGTCATTCTCCTGCAGGAAAAAGGGGGCAAACATGGTCAATTAAAGCCGATAAGATAAAGTTCACCCTTTCTTTTATGAAATTTCTTTGAATATAGTTACAATAAGCAAGTCAATCTGCTCATTTGGTGTTTCCTTTCAAGGCCCATAAAAGTCTCTTTTGGGGGAAGGTAGTCACTTCATGTTTTCACATTTTGTGTTCCAAAACATCCCCTCTCCCCCCAAATTAATCCAGGAAAAGAATTTACCTTATAAAATCATGTAACTTTTTTGATATACTGTGCGAATAAAATGGCGAAAATCACAAAAACACCCTAATTTTTTTATAGAACATAGACTCTCTTTGGCTTGGGTATAGGAACAATTAGAAAAAGATAACTGGTGATTTGATACTAAAACAACAAAGAAATCTGAAGTGCCAAGTCTCAAGTCATCTGGAGTGTACGCTTCCTGTTTAATCATGAAAGCCGTACCCATCAGCTGTGGAGCCACATACATTACTCTGTCAAGAGAGCAGCCAAGACTTGGTATTAAATGGAATAATTTTGTCAAAGAAACATGAATCAAAAATCCAGCCTATAATTACTTTTTATAACCTGACGGTGTGTACCTTGTTTTACAAATAGGTTGAAAATTGGGGAGTGATTCAAAGGCAGTGGCAACTTTATAATGCTGTTATTTTGGATTGATGCCATTTAACTAAACAATAATTTAAGCAGGCTTTTGTTGCAAGTAATCATTTTGCAACAGACTTGGCCTCTTTCAGTGTCACAAAAGCATGCCACAATTATTATGATGGCCATATGTGTAACACAGATGTCTGCTGAAGTTAACCACATTATCTATAACTACCATGCTACCAGAAAATGCATGTGTTAAGCACATATCTACTTGTGGTATGTACTAAATTAAACACATATGTATATTTGTAAATGGAATAATGTATGAACAGCCATCTCAAACGTAGAAGGTATTAAAATATTGAATGAGTATATGTATAATATTATTCTGTACATACTTGACATTTTCTTTAACTCCTACTTTAGTTGGTAAATGAAATAGTAAGCAATCACTTCAAAGTTAGTAGTATAATAGTAGTTACTATTGTGGTGTTTTCCTTCTCCTATAGTACACTCACTAATTAAAGTCAAAGTTAAGCATGCAACATCAATTAGCCCTTTTACCTGAAATAAAAATAGAAATTTTTTTTTTTATTTTCAAAAGTATTTCCTTATACATTAAAACCTTGGATTGCGAGTAACGTGGTTTGCGAGTGTTCCAGAAGACGAGCAAACATTGCTAATACATTTTAACGTGGTAAACGAGTGATGTCTTGTAATATGAGTAGTTTGTTTCCGGAACGAATTATGCTCACAAACCAAGGTATTACTGTAATTATTTTGAGATGACCCTGTCTTGCATTCGATCTCAAATGAAATGAAGACAGCTAATTTTACATTAAAGTTATTCACAGATTTCACCACTTAATGGAAGGAATTTTACTAATTCCTGATCATGAAGAATTTGCTTGTATTACAGTCATAATAATTCCTTGTGAGTTAAAAAAAAAGATTAATTCTAGGAAATTTAAGTACGAGTATGAGAGAAGCTTGGTAAAACATTTTTTTTTCTGTGTGCCAATATGAAAAACACTCTTTGGATTTAAGTACCAAATTATAAATTGGAAAGTTAGTTATGAAGTGATTTTTCTGCAATTTAGATCAGAGTTTTTCATCGACTTTAGAAAAAAATCAGTGTTTGTTCCCATGGAAAGTAATTCATCCTGAAGACAGTAGTTACACATCTAATATGTTAAGATGATTAGCATTTAAAAAAATAGTAGCATTTAAATTGAAAACAATTTTTTTTGTTTAAACAATACTCAGAAAAATAAAACACAGTATCTTTGTATTCCATATTATGTAGCAATTTCTGTTTTTAACTTGCTTTAGAAGTAACCTCACCTTGACAAACAGGAAGTCTTTTTCATGCAGTTTGTAGTTTGAGCCCTATCCAAGATTAAAAAACCCAGGTTTATATAAACTGAAAGCTATTGGTTGTGTGTTGAGCCCCACAATAGCTTTTAGCTGTTTGTTCTCTGCTGCTATCTCTGTTGTTTATTCAAGTTAAGAATTTCTGCTGTGGTTGGTCTCTTGGTTTTTTGAGTAATGTTTGTTCAGTGAAACTTTTGTTATGTTCTTTGTCGTTCTTTGTCCTGGTGGAGGTAGAGTAATCTTTCTTTTTGTTCTCTTTAGAAAGCAAAACTTGAGTATGGCTCAGACTACCTTTTTTTATAGGTTGTCATTTGAACAGCAACAATTTTCAGGGGAAAAAAATCTGTAAGGTTTGATTATAAATTTAGTTTTGAAAATTGCTGCTGCACATATGAACTAGATTAATAGTTTCATTTCAACAAGATTTTAGTCCTCTGAGTAGTAATGTAGTAAACCACTGAGGTGCTCATTTTCCCTTCAATGTATTTGACTAAATTAATGAAACCAATATGATAGTAAGATGGAAATTCCATTAACTTTTTAACGGTTTTATTGAGATATACCATATAATTCACATAGTTAAAGTGTACAGTTCATTCATTAACTTTTAAATGAAGTTACTGCCTAATCATCCTGAGTTTCCTGAGGGAGTGTTGTCAGTTTTGATCAGAAACTTCTTCATAAACTAGAAAAACAGTTGGAAGGTGGGGACTTACATTATATTCCTCTCACTCACCAAGAATTGTAATTCCATCTCATTTGGACCGGTTAAGAAAAATCTAAGAAGACTGGGCAAAAATGAAAAGCGATAGTTCTTCACAAATCACATTAAGTATTTATGTGACTACCTGTATTTTTTATATCAACAACATAAGGTACAGAGTTGGAGACCTTAGAAACATGGGTTGAAGCAAGTAATCAATCATATATCAACATTTTTGATAATGTAAAATTGTCTGGGGTCTTGATTGGTCAGTGAATTAGATGTGGCTGAGATAGAACTGCCCCTCCTCCACATTTCTTCTAGATTTCTGAGATTCAAATTTGATATTCATGTTGTGGCTGTTTGAGATGAGCTAGTATATAAATACTCCCTCAAATTCTTTTGTATTTTGTTTTTAAAACATGATTCCAAGTATTTTTTTCAGCTTCATTGAGGTAAAATTGACAGATAAAACTGTAATAAATTTAAAGTGTACACAATGATGATTTAATATACATACACATTGTGAAAGGAGTCCCACCATCCCACCGAGTTAACACATCCGTCACCTCGAAATTTATCTTTTTGTTGTTGTTGAAAACACTTAAGTCCTAGTCTCAGCAAATTTCAGCTATACAATACAGCATTATCAACTATAGTCACCATGTTGTACGTTATATCCTCAGACCTTCAGTGCCCCCTCAATTTTACAAGATTTTTTTCTTGAAAAAATTATTAAAAATAATTTCTTATCATTAATGGCTTGAAAGTAATTTAAAAATAATTTAAGGGGAGGAAGTCATTGTTTGTTACCTCCAGCAGCTAGCTGATGACTGTCCTTTTCCAGGTATTTATAATTTTCTTCGTTAAAGGTGAACCACACTCTTTGTAGCCCCCTTTAATATTAATTGTTCTTGAATTCTATAATGTTAAGCTTGAACTAACTTTGAACTAAATGTGAACTAATGCAGGGCTGTTGGTGCTTTTGCATATGGGTGATGCCTGGATCCGTTCTGGCTGCTAAATATAAAATATCACAGCCTGGGTGACTTATAAACAAGAGAAATTTACTTCTCATAGTTCTAGACTAGAGGCTGGAAGTCTGAGATCAGGATGCCAGCACGAATGGGTGAGGGCCCTCTTCCTGGTCAGAAACTTCTTCTTGTATCATCACCTGGCCATGGAG